AGAGAGAGACAGAGAGAGAGAGAGAGAGAGAGAGAGAGGGAGGGGTGGTGTGGAGAAATAGAGACAGAGATTATTGAGAGAGATAGAGAGAGAAAAAGAGCGAGAGGGGGGGAGAGAGAGAGAAGAGGGAGAGAGAGAGAGAGAGAGAGAGAGAGAGAGAGGGAGGGGGGAGGAGATGCTGGTGAGTAGGAATTATATATAAAATTGTAATACTTACTTGAGGGCATCTTGAGAAGTCAATGAACACGTACCTCTATGTTTGTATTTCATAGCGTGGTACATTAAGTCTGACATCAGTATCGCATCAATGACCTTTTTTTGTGATTACAGACACCAATATAATTAGCAAGGTTTGCGTTTATTTTCGCCCAGTTTAGTTTTACATGAGGCTAGCATTGTCATTTATGACAGTACACAAAGAAAACATGACGTGACCACTGGTTGAGCCCCACATTACAGACATGTAGTTAAGAACCCCCCCCCCAAAAAAAAATAAATAAATAAATAAACGCGGTGGGTTTGTTGTTGACGTTGAATTTTTTGAAATTGTTTTATTCTATTTTTAAAAGGGGAGAGGGGGGTTGGTTGACTTTTTACACCCTACCAGGTAAAAGACACAAAACAACTTTAGATAAATTACTTACTTTAATATATTGCTTATGACTCACATTTTTTTCTTCTGAAAGGAAGGTGGAGTCTTTATTAAGTTCAGTTCACAACGTGTAGATAAAGAAATTTACTTTTTAATAACAAAGAACGTTATCAGGGGAGTAAATGTTATGTTTGATAAAGGAAAAGGGCCTTGGTTATTTCAGTAAATGAAATCTTTAAGTGATTTATAGAGTTGTATAGAGCATTGGGCATGCCATAGAGCGTGAATATTATGCGATCTATAAAATGCAACCATTGCAATTATAATTGTTATAATTATTTTAATTATAATAATACTTGTTGCTTATATTATTATTATTATTATTATTATTATTATTATTATTATTATTATTATTATTATTATTATTATTATTATTATTATTATTATTATTATTATTATTAATAATAATGTTATTATTGTTAAGCTTATTGTTGTCATTATCACTATTATTCATTGTTATCATCATCATATTTTTTATTATCATTATTATTATTATCATTATTATTATTATTATTACTATCATTATTACTATTATTATTATTATTATTATTATTATTATTATTATTTTTTATTATTATTATTATTATTGTTAACGTATTATTATTATTGGTATCATTACTGGAAAATAAAGCAAACAATAACAGGACATCGCCGAATCTCATAGTTGTAGTAACTTCGCCTGAATTGTGAATTATGTTTTTTTCAAAATACTTTTGCATGTTTAGAGTCTATACTCCGTTTACAGAAGATTATTCTTCTTCACTGAGCAGAGGGAGAGAAAATTTAAAATACTAGCTCTCCGTTAAATTCTACAGAACAATATTGTTATATCTCATTTATGTTTCATTGAGAGCGTTTATCGTCCTTGTCGGAACAATTGTAATTAATTAATTAGAATTATAATGTGTAACGCTATGATGCGATTGGGTGCTCGTCAATTTTGGGGGAATATGGACTTATTTATATAATCTTAAAGCTTGTTTATTTGTCTTCTTCCGATGAAAAAATATCCATCTGTCATGAATAAAAGTGGAGATATTTAGATATCTATTGCGATTAAAAGACGTAAGGGTCGCCTGGTGTCAGGGGTAGATTATTAGCAAGAACATGGCTGCCAAAGTTTGGTGACTTCCAAAGCGATAGGTCTAACTTCTTTTGAAACTGCAAATTTACAGATGTGTCCTTGATCAACGTTTTTTCGTCGGTAAAAATCCACGCAGGAATGTGTTTTTAAATAAACGTGAAAGGTGTTGCGCCTTCAAGAGGAACAAAAGGATAAAAATTGCCCAACGGGCAGACAAATCTTAGTTTCTTTGATTTCATTATTTTGACGAGCGCCTGATTTCACTACGATGCCACACATGATAACAATAATAGGGCCTAATAATAATAATAATAATAATAATAATAATAATAATAATAATAATAATAATAATAATAACAATACCACCACCACCACCAACAACAACAACAATAATAATAATAATAATAATAATAATAATAATAATAATAATAATAATAATAATAAGTAAGAACACATTTATTGCTCTCAAGCCATATCTCGTTTTCACTGTTCACAAACCCGTGGCTGTTTCTTCCAGTCCATATCTTACACGTTTTGAACAAACGGTAAATAGGAGGTCTTGAAATCCTCCGATGCTTTCCCCTGATATTTTTTTTTCTTTCCCGAGAAATAAAAAGACGCGTATCTATTACATATTATGAAGTGGGTTGTTTTTGTCAGAGAGGAGCTGAATTTCCTTTTTAAACGAGGTGCTACACTTTGAAGAAGCAAGCAACCTTTTGATATGTGTGAGAACGTAATCCCTTAATTTCTATAACATAAATCCTGTTCGGTATTATTTGAATCCATACAGCACTTAAATGACCCAAGTGTGATTCGTCTTTCACGTGACATAGCTGTGAAGATAAATGTGAAACTCTGTCTACAAAGAGTAAATACACTGCCTCTTGGCTTTTTTGCTTAGGCTTTTCTTTTGGGGGGTGGGGGGGGGGGGGGGGTTAGGGGGTATATTTAACACAATTATTTTCTAAAAAGGCAACAAAATGGTTTACAATAGATTTTTAAAAATTGAGATACGATACTATAATATGTCCTCAAAAAATGTTGGTGGCAATATTTTTATTTATGTTTAATGCTTTTTTCAAGTACCGGTTTTCAAGCTGTTGTTTATTCTTGTATGCACTGAGGACATAGGTATAGGTCATTAGACAATGCATGAAGACTCGCTGTATTGAAAGCACTTTATTTTTGAATGGATAACTTTGTTAAACATACAGATTTGTCTCTTATCTTTCATTATCGGGAACATGCTTTCTATAAAATAGGTAAATTAACGTTTCCGATCTGCGTTTGATGGTTCCAAATGTGCCACAACATTGCCGTTAGTATGCTGCTCATCGGACGTATGTGCCCGCTACGTCTTGATTAAAAAAAATAATTGAAGAAATCATATCACTTCTGAAGCGAAACATAATATTACTTTAAAAATAATCCACTTTTGGCCTCATCTTTGAACATGCGTGTTGATTTTCAAGGATGCATTTCTAGAAACTAGGTAACATGGCTGTACAATTTC